TTATGTTTATGCCAATTATCATTGTTGACATTTAATTGCAAATGTATGACGGGAGAAGGCTGTGATAAATTGTAAAAACGTGTGCCCCATCCCTTGTTCAATTTTATTGGCAACACATTTGTTTAAAGCTAAATAAATTTAAATTCTGAATATTGGCAAGTGTGCAATTAACTTCTGATGATGAATAACTACTGTTCAATAAGTTTTAATACGGACTTAGAAATCATATTACTTGGGTTTAAGTGCGGTAATAAGTTGCAGTTGCCTGACGCCCCTCTCTGGGGGCCCCTTTGGAAACCGTTTTATCTCGCCCAGACCGCTCGTGTTTACTGCCTAGTCAGGTGACGTTATCGGCGCTATTTTTAGCAGGGCTTTTCCGAACAATTCAAGCGGTCAAACTGGACATTTGGAACGGACTATGAATATTGGGATAGCGAGGTTACATAAGTGGAAGTGCATTCAATACATACATTCATTAAAAAAAATGTCTCTTCCCGTGATGTCCCTTTAAATCTTGTGTTTTAGTTAATGGCGAATGTTCGAACTTTTTTCTAATAATGTTGGATTGATGCAGGGGGAAATTTTGTCCACGTTCCTGTTTTCTTTGTTTTTAAATGACTTTTAAAATAGTTTTATAGAAAATGGGGCATCCCATTATAATTTTGGGGAATTGAGTTTATGCAGAAGATTTTTTATTTTGCACATTAATTTACAATGACATTGTAGTTCCGGTCAGTGTTGTATTAATACGCTAAGAATTACGTCTCGTGCTGCATGGTAATTAAAGTCCCATCAACGACACAGCTTTCAAAGAGGCTATAAAGTGGCAATGCCATGCAAATGTAAATATATTCATTAAAACATCAAAACTGTGCTACACCTCTTCGACACATATGTGAGTAGTGTATTATATTATGGCTGTGAAATATGGGGTAGTTATAAAGGAGTTGAAAAAGAAAGGGTTCATATGGAATTTTGTAAAAATATACTGTGTGTTAAAATTTTGAGCTTGGACGACTTCCTCTGGCAAACAAGCAGATGCTTCGAATGTTTAAATATTGGTTTAAGTTGTTAAATTGTGAAAATTGTATTCTAAAAGAAGCATATCAGTTTTTATTGAAAGAAACTTGGAGAGAAAACCCGAAACGAAATTGGTTATTATTCATATAGCATAAATTATTTGAACTAGGGTTTGGATATATATGGTTAAGACAGGCAGCTACCGACATCTGTCTACTACCTATTATTAAACAGCGCATAGATGATCAGACAAAACAAACTTTATTCAACTCGTTGGCCTTCTCAAGTAAATGTGATCTCTATAGATACATGGTAGATACCGTGATGTTGCAATATTATTTAACAAAGTTTATACCGAAACAACGTCGAATTATGATTACCAAATTACGTATGTCTGCTCACAATCTTGCAATAGAAACGGGAAGATACAGGAATGTTGCAAGGAATAATAGATATTGCAGTAACTGTGACCTAATAGAGATAGAAGATGAATTTCATTTTCTATTTAACTGCCCACGTCATCTAGATCTAAGGAGAAAATATATTAAAAATTATTACTGGCAAAAACCATCGGTATTCAAACTTATCGAATTAATAAATACACACAATGTAAAAGAACTGAATTTGTTAGGTAAATTTATTATTGAAGCGAACAAACGAAGAATTGTTTAACTTATAAGTTTATTTTACCTAATTTTGTATTACTTAATCGTATCATGTCCATGTTTTGTTCGAACAATCTTTCATGTTTAAGATGGTAAATGTAAATGCTCAACGTTGTTTTTTTTGTCGATGATGATGATGATATAGATGTTTTCGATGATGATGATGATGATGAAAGTGGTAATGTTTCAATAATATCGTTGATTTGTGAAAAATGTACCAGTTTTATGAAATTCATAAAATGGTAATTGTTTCATGTTGTTGTACTTTGATGATGATGATGATGATGATGATGATGATGATGATGATGATGATGACGACGACGACGACAAGGAGGCGGAGGAGGATGTAGTATTTGATGTTGATTTAAAGAGATGACTGTTTCATGATGATGAGGTATAAGACGACGACGACGACGGCCACAACGACGATGATGATAATGATGATGATGATGATGATGATGATGATGATAATGATGATGATGATGATGATGATGATAATGATGATGATGATGATGATGATGATGATGATAATGATGATGATGATGATGATGATGATAATGATGATGATGATGATGATGATGATGATGATAATGATGATGATGATGATGATGATGATGATGATGATGATAATGATGATGATGATGATGATAATGATGATGATGATTATGATGATGATGATGATGATGATGATGATAATGATGATGATGATGATGATAATGATAATTATGATGATGATAATGATGATGATGATGATGATGATGATGATGATGATGATGATGATGATGACGACGATGATGATGATGATGATGATGATGATGATGATGATGATGATGATGATGATGATGATGACGATGACGATGACGATGATGATGATGATGATGATGATGATGATGAAAGCGATGAATTATGATTTCGATGATGTTGTTGTTGCTGCTGATTTGTGATGAATGTGCCAGTAATATGTAATTATATGTTGTTCTTTTATGAAATTATATGTTGATATCCTATAAGTTGTAAAATAAATTGAATTGATATCATACTTAGAGTCGTCATTAGTTGAGTCATTAGCACGTGATGGTCGATGATTTGTGTTATTGACTCAGTATTGTTTTAGAAACATGATGTTAATATTCTCTTTATGACGTCAGTTTAAATGTAACGTTACAATGAGCGCTGCCAAATACGATACTTTTCTCTCGACACATTCCTTATGCATCCCCTTGTTTCATGATAAATAGAGACATTATTATTATTATTATTATATAATATAGCATGTAAATATATATACAACATTATTATATGTACAACATTTATATAGCGCTCTATACAATTTGTAATATTACTCTCAAGCGCTTTACAACATATGGTAAAAAAATAAATGCTTACAATCACTTTTAAACACTCTAATTGTCGGTCAATATTGCTATTAGGTTCATATAACCAAATAGTTTGGCTCAACAAAGGTATTTTATTGATGAATATGTGACTATTGTATGTGGCAGAATATATAATATTTGCCGAGACAAAAGGATTCTGTATCTCTGTATATATTGGAGCTGGATATTAAATTTTAGAATGCAGCACTTTGCCATTAGAAGTAAAAAGGATGCATCCGCGTGCAAAACCCAGCAATGGTAGATGACAACGCATATATACTAGTATATATGCTAAATACCTCGAAGTTCTGAGGGACAGACGAACGGACGGACGAACGGAGTATATAGACAGATAGCCGCGTGCGATAGTACAAATTGAGAACTAACGATGGAGACGAAACCGCATCCTCCAGAAGTAAAACACTTACTATGATGTATCATTTCAAATCCCTCAAAGTATGGAAGTTTTAAACAGCTGTATTCGGTTGTGTTATGATTGTTTGAAGAGATGAATATATTCATATTGTTGATATCGTGTTGATGTTTACATGGACGGGTCAAAACATAGCTTATTTTAAACTACCTGTGCATATAGCCAGCTATCACACACCACGTCAGTAACACATAACACAGGAAACGTCCCGCTGACTCTTGTTTATAATTAATTTTACTGTAGACTTGATAAATTATCACATTCCCGTTGGTCGAATCCTATACACCAGACTAGTTCTCAAAAACTCGTGTAGACCGGTCCTCAGTGATTAATGATTCATACATATTTCCTTTAGGGAATCCCCTTAACTTTTATCGCTAAAACTAGGTTCGCTTGAAAAGTAAATATGTAAAATATCAACGGTTTGTATATTCTTCGTTATCTTTTTTGCATCTTAATCGGTTAACTCTAAATCCTTTATTATTTTACCTAATAACAAATCATTGCGGGCTTTTATGACGGTTAACGAAGCGTGAAACATGCTTAGGAACCTGAAATATGATATGGACTTTACATCCGTCAGTTTTACTTTTTCAAGTTCATATCACATTTTCTTCACCAGCACAAAATCCATCATTACATATTGGACAATTGTGATTTTTTCTCCTGTCTTCCGTTTGTTTGTTTGTTTTTGTTTTTGTTTTATTTTTGTTGTTGTTTTATTGTCTCACTACTGGGCTGGGGACTCCACCCTTTGAACGACTCTCAATTGGCCGATTACTTAATGCATGTTCCACTGGATCTTACCAATCATGATTGTGTTTATTCCGTCCAGCAGTTCAGGAACAATTCCGGAAAATTAAGTTTTAATTGAATTCGGTATTTGGTTACCGTAAAATCCTCGTCAAACGCCAGTTCACTGAAGCGTGACTATGCGCACGACTTTTGCATGCTTTTACGCGCTTTTTTAAATACACTTTTTATCATTTTTGTTCTTGGTTTTCCTAAAGTGACCAGATTAATGAAAAAGGGTTATTATTTGACAAATATCTGGTTTGTCGTCACAGCTCGAGTCGACGAGTGAAATAAGCTGTGGTGACCAACGCCTGGGAAACCGTCACTCTCTCTCTCTCTCTCTCTCTCTCTCTCTCTCTCTCAGATACAGCACATACAGAGATAGCGTAATCTTCTCGTTGATAAAGTTACAATACCGGGATTATTTGGTCCTTAAATTACTCGTGATGTATTTGTATATTTCGTGTAAATTATACAAAATTATTTCAACTTACTTATAAACATATGCATGTATGTATAAGTAATAGAAAAATATGTAATGAAATCATTAGCACAGTGGAGATCAATGTCCATATCGATCTGTTGATGGTGAGCTAGGATTAACATCGATATCCCCCGTACTCCGCGGGTAAATGTTTAACGTGATAAATTGTTTTAATACTTCGATAAATTCAGCAAAATAAAATTGGAAATTGTAAAGCTAGCAGGCCAATGGAGGGAAGCGCACAGCCCGAAACCAGTGCCGTATTTGGCGATAACACTCCAAAGGGAACGAAATTTGTAGACAACTTTAAATCGAAATGTGGAAACCTGTTTTTAGGTTTGAAGTGTGTAAATTGCGGAGTATTGGTCATTGCGTTCGGGATACACCTACATAACCTTTTCACTGCTACGTGGGCGACTGACCATGGCCTGGACACACCGACCGGACACCAGGGCCGGGTCCACCACCAACTGTTTGGCTTCACCCAAGATGGCGACCAAGACGCGTATCCTCTTCACAGAGAAGGATGTAAGTTTATTGTTCCTGATCTCATACTTTGATGTTCGACTTCATCTTATACGCATTTATATTATTAAAAAAACAGGGCGAGGTTTTCACAGAGCAGACTTTGATGCCGGGTACGTGGACGCTCTGCATATTGTATCTTTGTATGTTAACGATGTTTACATTTGTTCTGGTAGGTTGACGTTATGTAAACTTTTGGTCAATAATGACGACACAACTAACATTGTGTCCTTGTATCTTGACATAATGAACGTTGTGTACATTTGTTATTTTATGACGTTTCCTGAAAGCTCGGTAATAAATACGGTACTAAAAACCTGTTATCAATGTGTCTTGGTGAAAGGCGAGTGGTTTATCAACTGCGCCACCCGACCCTGAAACGCAACTTTGAAAAATAATGGAGCTGTTTATTCCTTACATAGATATAATTTTACATAATAGCGCAGAAGACTAGCTCTGGTTGACCGTAAGATTTTGAGAGCGTTATAACAAAGGTGTGGGCGCGGGTTCGACTCCTGGCGTCAGAGGCATGCGCAGTTCGTTACGAATATATCGGGAAACCCTTGGTAAACCTAACTACGTTGTATTCATTGTGATTTGTGTAAGAGGTAAAAATGAGCAGTTGGAGAGAGATATTTTGAAAGTCGCGTCTGTTGTTCACGTTGAGAATATATTTTTTTTAACCCTAACGATTAAATGTTTTACGTTCTTTAAATGTAGATCAGAAATACACAATATAAAGTATAAACCCTGGCTTTGTGTGCAATTACAGTCAACCGTATACGCTCAAGCAAAGGCTTTCGACATAAATTGTAATTTGATGTAAAAGTCCAGATAACCCTGTTCATTTTTAGTGACTTCGATGTGAATTCGTTGATGTTAATCCAGGAATATGAATTCAGGGATTATGCTAATATCATAAATTATTTATATGAACGTCACGTTAAGGACATTTATTAAGAACACTGCCATCGTTCAGAACATAACGCATCGTTATTATTACAATGCTGAATTATAAATAACGTGACGCGTCATACAACATATACTGAATGCAATATGTATAAAAAAAAGCGTGATTCATCTTGTAGCTTACGTCAAAATTGTATATAAACGAAAAAAAGCAATAATGTAAACACACTCTGACAACGTTGGAAAACTACGTCGATAAAAAAAATATGAAAATAATTGTTCAAATTAAAGTTCTTTAACTGCAGTCTTTCTATAACGTGGTAAAGAATGATATAAACTGGTTCTATTCTTCATTCATGATAGGTCAGAAGAACCATTAAAATTTCAAAAAAATAACTTAACTACCGATTAAATGTTGCTAATTGAACACCTTAGTGTGTCTATGTTTTAACCTTGCTAGTTAAACACCTTAGTTGGTGTGTATATTTGAACCTTGCTAGTTGAACGCCGTGGTTTAATTGTGTGTATATTTGAACCTTGCTAGTTGAACGCCGTGGTTTGTGTGTATATTTGAATCTTGCTAATTGAACGCCGTGGTTTGTGTGTATATTTGAACCTTGGTAATTGAACATCGTGGTTTGTGTATATTTTAACCTTGCTAGTTGAACGCCGTGGTTTGTGTGTATATTTGAACCTTGGTAATTGAACATCGTGGTTTGTGTATATTTTAACCTTGCTGGTTGAACGCCGTGGTTTGTGTGTATATTTGAATCTTGCTAGTTGAACGCCGTGGTTTGTGTGTATATTCGAACCTTGCTAGTTGAACGTCGTGGTTTGTGTGTATATTTGAACCTTGCTAATTGAACGCCGTTGTTTGTGTGTATTTGAACCTTGCTAGTTGAACGCCGTGGGTTGTGTGTATATTTGAATCTTGCTAATTGAACGCTGTGGTTTGTGTGTATATTTGAACCTTGCAAGTTGAACGCCGTTGTTTGTGTGTATATTTGTACCTTGCTAGTTGAACGCCGTGGTTTGTGTGTATATTTGAACCTTGCTAGTTAAACGCCGTGGTTTGTGTGTATATTTGAACGTTGCTAATTGAACATCGTGGTTTGTGTGTATATTTGAACCTTGCTAGTTAAACGCCGTGGTTTGTGTGTATATTTGAACCTTGCCAGTTGAACGCCATGGTTTGTGTGTATATTTAAACCTTGTCAGTTGAACGCCGTGGTTTGTTTGTATATTTGAACCTTGTCAGTTGAACGCCGTGGTTTGTGTGTATATTTGAACCTTGTCAGTTGAACGCCGTGGTTTGTGTATATTTGAACCTTGCTAGTTGAACGCCGTGGTTTGTGTGTTTATTTGAACCTTGGTAATTGAACATCGTGGTTTGTGTGTATATTTGAACCTTGCTAGTTGAACGTCGTGGTTTGTGTGTATATTTGAACCTTGTCAGTTGAACGCCGTAGTTTGTGTGTATATTTGAACCTTGCTAGTTAAACACCTTAGTTGGTGTGTATATTTGAACCTTGCTAATTGAAAGCCGTTGTTTGTGTGTATTTGAACCTTGTCAGTTGAACCCCGTGGTTTGTGTGTATATTTGAACCTTGCTAATTGAACGCCGTGGTTTGTGTATATTTGAACCTTGCTAGTTGAACGCCGTGGTTTGTGTGTATATTTGAACCTTG